TGACCTACATGAGGTCACCATGATTTGGAATCAATTTGATGCCAACTGGTTCCTGGTTACCAGGGATTACACTAGCCCCAAACTAAGTAAGTCCAGCTGCTCCCTGCAGCTAAAATTGTTTAAAATTTAATACAACCATGTAAACAGGAGATTGTCACATTTTAAATTATGTATAAACTGTAGTACAATTTCTATATATAACAATGTGATGATTGTATAAGCACAAATTAACTTAGTATCCCATTGAAATGGCACATAATAAACTCTTGATCAGATCTAAAAAGATTCTCAGGATAAGTGATATCCAAACTGAAAGCTGAGGTATAAACTATTATATGTGGAGAATAATTTAGATAAAAGTGATAGTGAATGATAAGGCTGAGAAATATATAAAGATCGGATCATGAAAAGGGCTTTTACATCATATGACAGTTTGCAGGTTACCTTGAAGGCAATGAATTGTTTTAATAAGATGAGCCATATAATTCTATTTTAAATGACCACCCTACTTACCGTGCTCACAATGTCTATTGAATGTATGAACTCACGAGACGTTTGCATAGAACAAATATTTTTAAAAATTTTAAAGGAGAAAAAGCAGTGATTCAGTACCCGTGTAATGCCCCAGAAATGTCTGACAGAGGAGTTTAACTTGGCTCTTGAAATGAAGGATTCTGATTGGGTGACTCAAGGTAGAGAACTATAGTCCAGATTGGAGATAGCAGAAGTTCAAGAAAGATAATGAATTAAAATTATGTGGAGCATGAATAGAAAACGAATTCAGAGAAGGATGAAGGGCTCCGTTCCATGCGTGCTAGATCTGGAGCTCTAGATTAGCGTGGGGTTTCCAAGACCTTCAAGGTTTAGCTCCATCAGATTGGAGCGAGCTCATGACAGCTCTCTTCAACAAAGGAAACATATTTGAGATGCTGCTTTAGAAATAGCAAATATAAATTGAAGGGCCTCAATGGCCCGGGGAAGAGATCAGGTGCTCACCAACTTTTTTTTAATTCGTGAATTGGGTCACAGTTTACAAAGCAAATTAGTTTTCAATCAACAGTTCAGACAGTTTGTTTCAAATAACTGAGTGCAGTTGCCACAATGTAACATCTCTTATCTAACTTCCTCCATGTACTTTGCTTTTCCATTTACCCATTTTTCCTCATCTTTCAGAACGTTGTGCTTGCTTGGGCAAATAGTACTCCGTTGAGCTTCAATAGGTGCTTGTTCTAAGGGGTGTGCGTGAGTGAAGTGAAATTAATTATGTATGGCTCTCTATAGCGCCCACCAATAATTGGGTGGGACCATCTAACAAGGTGCAGAAAATTCTAGCTCAGGGACCTAACCGTTTTGCCATGGCTCTGGCTATGAGAGAGCCATCTGAGAAGCAGAAACAGAGAGAAAGAAAGAAACAGAGAGGATTCTAGCAGATGTCGTTCAAGATGCCTGCCTGAAGTGACAAAGGCAGGAGAGGTCAGGCCAAATGGAGAATAAGTTAGCTTTTCAAATCGACTAGCAGTGCTTGGATGGAAAAGACCTAGCAATGTGCTCCCATAAAGATTACAGCCAAGAAAACCTTATGGGGCAGTTCCACTCAGTCACGTGCGGTTGGAATCCACTTGACATACAATAATAACAATATGAAGGGACAGAGATTAAAAACTGGTTTCAGGCAACCCAGGATAGCTCAGATTACAGTCAGGTATGGAGGTCACAGAACACATGTGGTTAAGAGGGTACCCTTCCTAGGCTGTGTGTGCTCCCCCATCAGCCCATTGCACCTTCAGTAACCATGTGGAGCAAACCAATACACTGCATTGTTCTACTGTCTCCAGTTTGAGCTCAGGTCACCTTGGTCTTCCAAAGGAAGAAATTATTTCAATAGTAGTTAGGAATACTTTCTTAACATAGACAAAACTTTCCACACTGTCTAACAGGCCTGCAGGATAGAGTCACCCTAACCTAGCAAATACCATAGCCTTCATCCAAAAGAATAATGCCATTTTAGACTGACCTTTAGAAAATTCAACAAATCCTTGTCCATAGAAACTATTTCTCTTTTTCTTAGTCTTTTTCTGAGTCAGAAAAAGCAAGCTTCTCCCAGAGACCCAGACATTGTTTCTTTCACTTTGATGCAGGTGAGGAAACTAGAGTTGCTTTAGGTAGAGCATGGGAGCATTCACAATCCTAAAATACACTCCAAATGAGAGGGTTTCGGTGCTGGAGTAAATATCAATGCGCTCACTAAATTCAGCAATTGCCAGAAAATTAATGGATTAGTCTGGGTTGGTATTCCATTTGTCATCACTGAACTGATGGTTGTGGTTTTCATTGGGGCTTTTTAGAACATTAAATAGATGTTTGTTAGGCCCGATTGAGTGATAAATTGTCTTTGGCTTCCCTTTGTTTCCAAGGTAGTTATGAGCTTTATCTTGTCTCTCTGTGATGCCCAGAGAGCCAGTATGTGGGCAATTAAATATGAAGAAGAAACACAGTGTCATCATAATAATAGATATAACTTATCTATTAAGGTGTTCTAATCTGTGCATAAACTGAGAACCAAATTGCTGAATGACTGTAACCAATTTTCCTAGAGAAATTAGGTCTACTTGCCAGTGCCTATGGCTTGGGGGTCTTTTCCATCTCCAGAGAATGCAAGCGAAGGAGAAAAGTTCAGTCATGTGTGGGTTACAGATTTGTAACTTCAAGGCCAATCCCCAAACTTCCTTCCAACTATATGCTGGCACTATTCCTACCCAGAAATACAAGAGGCAGCTCAGCCATTTCCCCTCCTTGGAAGAAAAGGAGACAGCAACCAGCCAAAAAATTGTTTATTTTGGTTTATTTTCTAAATTATTTATATAATAGGTGGACACTTTTTCCCCCCAACCTATGTATGACTACAGGTGACTAAAGAACATACACAAAGAAGCCATGAAGCCTTTTTGGATCAAAGAGAAATATTTCATGGCATCAGACAGTTCCCCTTCTTCTTAGGTAGAGTGTATTTGAAGGCTAGACATTTTTAACAAAAGAAACAGCAAAGTTAACTATTAATAGTCTTAGCAAGGGATTTACCTGACCAGAGTTGTAATGGGATATCAACCACATTCAGAAATCTTGAATTTCCTAGTGAGGAATATGATATGCAGAATTTCTCAGACATCTTAGACCACGAAACTGTGTCACACACAAACATCTCCTCGAAGTGCGGGACAAAATGGGATACTGTATATTGTCTTCTGCTCTTTGCCAGGAGTTGTGAACAGCGGACACTGGGACTGGGGAAGAAGAGAGACACCTAGACACTGGAGGGACTCTGCTGAAAGAAAGGAAGGCCGGCCACCCAAGAGGGAGGGGGCATGGGAGTGCTAAAAGCATGCTTTGTCTGCTTCGCATTTTTAAGAAATGCCCACTGCTACAATGTTCATCCAGAAAATAACTAAAAATACATGGTGTACTTTTGACACTCGATGTTTATGTCTATCAATATCCATACTGTTTATTCAATTGCACCTAGACCAGGGGTTGGCGAATCTGGCGAAGGAAGAGCCAGTGGTGTCCTGCACAGCAATTTAAAAGGTCTTTGAGAGCCATACATATATTTTTACAGACATATAAAATTTCCATTATGGGAATTATATCCTTAACTGTTTTTCCGTTTTACTTCAAGAAGAGCTGCACAGTACTACCTAGCATTCTAGGAGCTAGAGTACCCTGAAATTCCAGGCGATAC